TTTTTAACTTCTAAGGATTTAGTCTGGGAGGAAAACGATATAGTTTGGTAATAAGGGAAAAAATATGTATTTACATTCAAATTAATATTCTTTTTAAAGTACAAAAAAAATTTCTATTTTATACTGTGTAGTCTTATTTGATTACACCTTAACATAAAGAAAACAAAAATCCTCAAAACTGAACCAATAAGCAATATCATGATAAATGGAGAAGATATTGAAGTTGTCAGAGATTTCATTTTACTTGGATCCATAATCAATGCCCATGGAAACAGCAGTCAAAAAATCAGATGCCTTATTGCACTGGGCAAATCTGCTGCAATAGACCTCTTTAAAATGTGAAGGAGCAAAGATGTCATTTTGAAGAGTATGGTATGCCTAACCAAAGCTATGGTATTTTCACTTGCCTCATATGCATGTGAAAACTGGACAATGAATAAGGAGACCAAAGCAGAATTGATGCCTTTGCATTGTAGTTTGGTGAAGAATACTGAACATAGCGTGAGATTGCTAAAAGAACCAACAAATCTGTCCTGGAAGAAGTGCACTCAGAATGTTTCTTAGAAGCAAGAATGGCCAGACTTCATGTCATGTACTTTAGTTATGTTGTCAGAAGGGACCAGTCCCTGGAGAAGGGTATCATGCTTAGTCAAGTGGAGGGTCAGCAAAAAAGTGGAAGACTCTCAACAAGATGGATTAACACAGTGGCTACAATGATGGGCTCAGGGATAGCAAGTATTATGAGGATGGGGCAGGATTGGGCATTGTTTCCTTCTGTTGTACAAAGGGTCACTATGAGTTGAAGCCAGCTCCATGGCACCCAACAACAACTATAACAGCCTCATATCTTGGACATTAATAACCTGAAACCTGAATAAAACAAAGAATATGTTATCTTCAGGTAGAGCGTTTTGTTAATCCTTGCTGGTAACAATTTCTGGTTTCTTAAAGATCAGGATGCTTGGTAAAATCAGTAATCAATTTCCTGCATCTAGTTTAACCAAGAAAGGAGTTAATTTAATATGATCTATAAACATATATATATATATTATCACTGTCATAACTGTTATTCACATTAGTATTTCCTCTTCATTCCTTGTGTAACAACAAAGTCTAAAAGAAGAGTATGGATTGTTGAAAGTCTCTATTTCCAAAAACTCTAGAGTAGTTGTATCATCATTTTAATGTATGCACCCAGTTCTTAGTATGCAGGTACAGTAGACAGAGCAAACTCTGAGTCAGGAGTTTGTTTCATTTGTTTACTTGCTTGCTTGTTTTGTATTTCCTTCTCACTTCCACAGTTGGGTTGGGTTGAAACTTTTCTGTTTTCTTATTTAAGTCCATAAATGTATTTATTTACTCACTGAACAAATATTGATTGAGAAAGTGCTATGTATCATGCACTGTGCTAGGCATTGAAGACACAGATAGAGCAGTCAGTCAATCAGTCAATATCCTAACTTTCTACATCTTAAATGCTTAAATTCATTCAAATACTGGAAAAATAATAAGCACTAAGCTGATTTTACTGCTTTTTGTAATATATTAATAGAAAAGAAATCCAAATTTAATTTACTACTAATAGTAGATGTCTACTGCATATGAAAGATGAATACAGACAGTCCTGGAGTTACAAACGAGATTAGTTCCTAAGTATGTCTTTAAGTCAAATTTTTAAGTAAGTTGGGACATACTGTTCTTAGACTCACTTTAGTGCAAGAAAAGACTTTAAGCCTTTCCAGTGGTTTAAAGTTGCACATGCAGCAAGTGAAGGTGATTGTGCTGAAGAATTTGTTGCAGTAGGGGTTGTTTCAGTTCAAAGGGCAAATTTACATAACATTAAAGGGCAAATAGGAATTTGTCTGTTAGGATGTTTGTAACTAGGGACTACCTGTGTACAAAAGTTCAAACCAGCTTTTCACAAATAGCCACGACATGCTGGAACTAACTTTTAAGAGGGCTACATGCAAAGTTCTTTCTGGAAAATGTTAGTGTCAATCACTACATCTCCACAGACTTCTTGCCAAATTTTCAAACCCCAAGGCCTCTGGGTCCAAAGAACTTAGATTATTTCCAAGATAGGCAAGTGCTCTGATGCTGTTGGAATTCTTACTGGAGATGGGCCTGCAGGATCATCTGTTAATAGTCAGCCCTCATTGGCCTGAATGATTCTTGAGAACAGTCAGCTTCAAACATACATGGGGGGTGTGTGGCGGGGTGGGGGGTGTCAAATCCACAAAGATTTGAATGATTGAAAAGCCCAGTTGGAAGCATTGGAAGCAGCATGTTTAACCATTTCCTCTGAGTACTTCTGATTACAAGAATGGACAAAGTGCTGTCTGGAGTTTCCTAGGAGTCTTATCAATCAAAGATCACAAGCTAGCAAGCCAGCAGGCTGAACTTAGTCCTCAGATATATTTTTGGGGGGCTCAACTCTTTTTTATTTTTAACTGGTCATAAAATTTTAAAATAATTCAAATGTTGACTTTATTTGAAAAATCAGAAGATCTGGCTACATCAGATCCACGTTGTCATTTTCCAGCAACTGGTCAGAACTGAGTAGCAGCTGCCCCATTTTGAAGGGGGAGGAGTCCTCCAATGTACTACAGTCCTTACTACTCCTGTTTCCCCATACTTAGCCTACTTCACACTAATGAGTTTGAAACACTTTGCTTCAATTTTCTGGATCCAAGAATGCTTAGACTCTACACTTTTCTACTCTAGGTTTTATTAATCCCTGGGATAGGGATGCTCAAAGGCTTGGTGGATGCCAAGCTGATATACTTGGAAGACCACATCATTTCCTTTTATGTAATGTAGTACTGGTACAACACACCCCACACTGTCTCAGTACACTCATAAAAGAAGTGTGGTAAAGCCAGCAAGAAAGGGAGAATGAGACCAGATAGACTCAATTTCATTTTTTTGGTACTTGATAATCTACCTGTTACTAGCTTTTAATACTTTTAAATATTTAAAAATGACTGCCAAGAAAACTTTCAAAAATGTTCTTTATGGCAACAGTGGAACTTTTAAAGAAAGGATTTTTATGTGATGGTTATTAATTTTATGTATTATGGCTGGAAGAATTTATTCTTTCCAGTTTCTCCTCACTCATGACTTCTGCATCTGTTTTTTAGTAATAGTTCTTGGACTTTAATAGAATAATGATCCTTTTATATTATTTCCTCTTTCATCTCTGAATACATTTGTTCTTTTATAGGTGGTGGTGGCAGGTACCATAATAATTCAGAATATTGGAGGTGAGCAATCGAAAGTGCACTACTTATGCATAGATGAGATAGAAATTATTTCCTCCTTTGGTTTCTTATTGTAATACAAGTCTAAGCTGGGAACTTGAACCACTGTCAGCATAGATATCATCAGAAGCCCTTTGTATTGGCCTTATTACTCCTTTTTTTTTTTTTTTTTGACAGCCTTTGTGGGGATAACTTCTAAATTAAGTTTCAAGTAAACCCTGAATTTCAAATAGTGCTCCATCTTGTTCATCTTGCTTCATCAACACACTTTCCGTGGTTGTGATAGTGGAGGGGTACAGTTCAGAAAAGCTCTCTAGGTTATTCTAAAACATTTCCCTTCTATTTGTGTTCCATCTACCCCAGTAGCAAATACTGCTTTTAGAGGGAGTGGTGTGACATGGGCTATGAGCAGTCAGGCATGGACCAGCAGTGTTCCCTTATAACCGAGAAGTTAATAACGATCAAGTGGTTTAAAAAATAAGCAAATCTGAGATAAATAAGCATTCTCACCTATATCTTGTTTCTATTAAATACTGATCCTAATATTGAGAACCATGTAGAAATAAAAATTATTAATTATGGCATAATTAATTGTGGGCAGGTACTTAATAAATGTATTAAACATTTAATTATAAAATTTAGGAATTGTGTTTATATATGTTGTAAAGAAGTTACATAGTGCTGAACAAAGTTTTAATTTTCTTTTATCATTGACTGGAGGGCTAAGTAAATGTTATTAGGTTAAAAGAATATACAGAGAATGGTGACATGCCCCTTGGATCTTATACAAGATTGGTCAGAAGAAATTTTAAACATACATGTAATAGTTCAAAATCGTTTGAAGATGACAGTTTTAATAAAGTTTAACTCTCATTCTCAAGAGATCTGAGCTATTACACATTAAGTATCATTGAACCAAAGTTCCATCTTCTCTAGTGGGTTTGTTGGTCAAGGAAAAAATTAACATTCCTTTAAAGAATTGTGTTGGACATTGTTTTGGAATTCTTGAACTTTTGTGCTTTAATTGTTTGAATATTCATAGAAAAAAAATGTTATTGAATGATATGAATGCTTTCTCAGGTACCATACCAAATAATTTCCTTCTAACACACAAATTCACACCGTGCACTAGCAGTCAGGAAAACTACTCTCTTCCTTTATGAATCTATATAGTGTCCTTGTCTTTAAGATACGCTTTGGAATAATTTATTTTAGCAAATATGTATCACATAACTGTGCACTGATAATGTTTTGGAACATGAATTATATTTTAATTATTTTCAATCCCTCATTATCTTCTCCATATGAATAGTAAGAACTATCACATTTTGCTTAGATTAACTTGAATCATTATTTAGCGTTTTATGTAGAATTTTCAATTTAGGAATTTAGATTCAAATTTGTGACGTTAGCATAATGCCCCTGTAGCATTCTCTCCGTTTTTCATCTTGATCCCTTCTTTGTACTCTAATCTTGTATGGAACTGCTTTGGGGCATAATTCTAGTTTAGTACTTGCTGTTACTAGGTCGACGTTATCTCGTATATGTGTCTGTCCTCCACTATATTGTAAGCTCCTCCAGGGCAGGGATTATGTATGTCTCTGTGTACTCCCAGTATCTGGCACAGTACTTGGAACTCTTAAAAAACCTTTGTTGAGCTGAATAGAGCTGAGTAACATTTGAATGTGCCATTTCCCAGTATTTTTTAATATTCTAGATATATTTATCAAGAAGAAGAGAAAAGGGGAGTGGTAGATTGAGTATTAGCTTCGAATATTGAAAAGGGTAAACATGAAATACTGAAAAAGAATCTAGGCTAATTGAGTGTTGTCCCAGAAGGCAGAACTAGTTCTAATGGGTGTAACTTTACAGTGAAGCTGGTTTGGATTCCTCGTTAGACATACATTTGTTACCAAGTTGGATGACAATAGGGATGGCCTATGCTGCTTTACCCACACTCCTTATCCCTGGAAGCAATCAAACAGAGCCGGTTGGCCAGTTGTCAGAACGTCGTGTATAGAAGGGATTCCTGCATTTGATGATGGATAAAGCATCACACTCTTCCAACTCTAGGTTTGTTGGTTTGGTTGCTTTCTTGTTGTACACAGCTAAGACTCACTGCCGTCGAGTCAGTTCTGGCTCATAGTGACCACTCCTTGGGTTTCCAAGGTGGTATCACTACTGAAGTAGATTGCCCAGTCTTCCTTCTGAGGAGTGGCTGGTGGGTTTAAACCTCCAGCCTTCTGGTTAGCAGTCAAATGTCTTAGGGACTATACCACCAGAGCTCCCTTTCTTGTTTTAGCACTTAAAAAAAAAAAAGTAATTTTAAGATGGTCCCAACAATTTAAAATGCCCCTCAAATTCAGACAAGTTGGTATTGCTAATTTAGTTTTTAGAATAATGTCCTCATGATTTTTTTATCACATTAGTTAAAAATTTATTTACTGAGAGACCTCTGAATAGAAACTGAATATGTATTTTCAGATATTTTTTTTTCTTTTGTTTTGGCCAGGTGTGCATGAATTTTTCCTTCATTATAATAGAATTGGAAGCTTACTGTTATGAGTACAACAACCCCAAACACTGAGTTGAAAGTCAGGAACCTTGAATTCTATCTAGTACAGTCTCTGCCATTGGATAGTCATGGTCTTGGGGAAATCCCTGACTCTCTTGGCTTCACTTTCCTCTTTGTGAAATGGCTGAGAGTGGGGTGAGAAGCTGGGAGCTTAGGGTCACATCTTACTCAAAAATTTGAAGTCTAGCTTAGCAGTTTGGGAGGCATATTAATTTGTTATGGGTATTAAAGTATTCTTAGTACATGAAAGTTAACTAGAAGGGTTATATTTAATTCAAAAGATGATCTAGCTCTTTCTTTGGTTAATCTTTAACAAATCAGCAACCCTTACCCTAAAAGCCTTCATAAATGCTGTTCTTTGTAACTGGGAGAAGGAATACACCTCAATTCTTGGGATTACTTTTAAGACAGATTTTGAGCCTCTGAGGTCAAGTCTAGGAACTCCAGCCTTAAGAAATAGTTTCTTGATATAAATTGCATCTGTGGACCTCCTAAAGAGCTACTATTGGTAAACCACATATACTTGAAAAGGAACAGCATGCTTATTTGGGAGGATCTTTAATATTTTGTGCTCATGACTTTTTAAATATTACTTCTTCAAAATGAATTTTGACTTTTTATTAATTAGAAATACATTGGCTATTTACAAGATAGTATGAAGTACACTCACTCCTCACTTACTGACACAGATTGTTGTTACGCAGAAATTGTGTTATATAAAACATAGAAGATGACTACATCATTACGTAACTGCCAGATTACATCATTCCACAACTGTCAGGCCACTGAGAATCATGGCCCAGCCAAGCTGACATGAAACTTTAACCATCACAGCCAGGGTTACTCTCATCGCATGACTTGGTGCTCATTATTGCCGGACATATGTCATTAAAGCAAAAAATAATCAGATAGTAGATTAAATGCAAAATATTAGATGAGATAATCGATAAATGAGGAGCAGGCATATAGCATCAAATTGATTCTTTACACTTCTTAAGTGCCTATTTGCATAAAATATGGTCCAGATAGCATTTTTTGAAAGACAGAATGTTCATTATTAGTATAAGCGGTCTTTTTTTTTTTTTTTGTAACTTGGGTGAAATTTTATGAAACAGATTTGTTTTACATTCAACAATTCATACACATTTTGTTTTGTGATGCTGATTACAGTCCTCACTGTGTAAGAGCTTTCTTCCTACTTCCTCTCTGTGGTCACCTACCGCTGTGTCCTTCCTGCTTCTGCATCCTGCCTCCCTATCTTTCTCCTGTGCAAATGCTGCTCTTCTGATCTCCTGTGGTTGATTGTTCTAAGGAGTGTATCTCCCTGCTGTAGTTGTTCAGATCATAGGCCTGGCTGTTGTTTCGCTGAAAGTTAGCCACAGGAATGAGTCCAATTCTAGGCCCAAAGGGTGACTAGATGGTCTGGTTTTTGGCAGTGTTAGTTTAGAACTGAAAATTAATGTAATAAATTCCATTGAGGTCAAATATTCTGTTAGAAACTTTAAGTATAGTCATTTAGTCTTCACAACAACTCTTCAAGGTATATGATATTATCCTTATTTTACAAGAAGAGACCAGCGCTCAGAGGGATAAGTAACCTTTATCTCCTGATAAAGCCCAGGCACAAACCTTGCTCTAATTCTAAAGCCTTTGTTCTTTCTGCTAAGACATTGGACATTTTTGAAAAGTTATAAAAAGACTAAATGCTGAGGATCTGTAAAATTTCTGCGGGACATAACTATATGTTTTCATTTACATTTTCCTAACTTGACTCAGTTTCTGGTAGAGGAACTCAATAAATAATATTTGTTGAATGAGTGAGACAATTTAACAAGTTCTACTTAAAATCTAAGATTTTACCTCAAAGAAACTATTTTATATGCTATATAAATTATAAAAAGAAATTTGGAAACTCATAGAATTGTAGGTAGTCCTTGATTTCCCAATTTATGATGTATTCAAGTTATGACAAACCAACTTACCATCATCTATTTATATAAACAGGGACTACCTGTAATTCATATACACACACACACACACACACACACAGAGATACTCGTTGTTGTTAGGTGCTGCTGAGTCGGCTCTGACTCACAGTGACCCTATGCCTGAGCTTATCATTGCAAGCAGTGTGTCAATCCATCTCATTGAGGGCTTTCCCCTTTGTGGTTGACTGTCCACTTTACCAACCATGATATCCTTCTCCAGGGAATGATCCCTTCTGACAACATGACCAAAGTAGGTGAGACGAAATCTGGCTGTTCTTGCTTCCAAAGAGCATCTGGCTATACTTCTTCCAGAAAAAAATTGTGTGTTCTTCTGACAGTCCATAGTACTTTCATCATTCTTCACCAACATCACAACACAGAAGCATCAACTCTTCTTCAATCTTCCTTATTCATTGTCCAGCTTTCACATGCATATGAGG